CCACTGAGAGCCACTGGCCAGTGTACAGAGGAAAGTTTTTTTCACTGCTTGGCATGTGCCAACCCTCTCCAGGTTCCCTGGGGTGCTTCTTTAGAGCACCTCCTGCCTGTGCTTCTCCCCATGCCATCCCTCTCCCTTTTCTGTGGGCACCTGGCATCTGATCACCAACGAGATGAGCTTTGCTGCCTGAGGTTTGTGAGTGTTGTTACTGCACCTTTGGAGAAGAGACCTCAGGAGAAGACCCACAGCCCCTTCTCTTTACCTGTGCCGGACCCAAGCTGTGTTTCTCTTTCAGCATTTCTGGAGAAAGATGAATGTCTTAAAGCCATGTGCACAAGCAAAATACAAATTTCAGCTGTTTTTTTTTCTTTTTTTCTTCCAATAAAAGGCTATTATCAATGATAAATGGCATCTTGTCAAAAGCAAGCAGACAGTACCTGAATGTGCAGAAGTATTGCACTCATTTTAATGGCGCTGCTTTGGCAGCACAATGGGCAGAGGCTGTGCTCTTTAACATCTTTGTGTGCCCTTTAACATCTTCATCAGTGACATCAATGACAGAATCGAGTGCACCCTCAGCAGGTTTGCTGATGACACCAAGCTGAGTGGTGCAGTTGACACATTGGAAGGAAGGGATGCCATTCAGAGAGACTAGAAAGGTGGGCCTGGGTGAACCTGATGAGGTTCAACACAGCGAAGTGCAGAGTTTTGCACTTGGGCCGGAGGAATCCCAGGCATCCCTACAGACTGGAAGGAGCGGGCCTTGAGAGCAGCCCTGTGGAGAAGGACCTGGGAATCCTGATGGATGAAAAGCTGAACATGAGCCAGCAGTGTGCTCTTGCAGCTTGGAAAGCAAATGGGATCCTGGGCTCCACCAGAAGAGGGGTGGCCAGCAGGGACAGGGAGGCGGTCATCCCCCTGTGCTCTGCTCTTGTGAGGCCCCATCTGCAGTGCTGTGTGCAGGTCTGGATTCCCCAGTACAAGAAAGACAGGGAGCTGTTGGAGAGGGTCCAGAGGAGCCACAGAGATGATCAGGGGGCTGCAGCACCTCCACTATGACGACAGGCTGAGGGAGCTGGGCTTGTTCAGCCTGGAGAAAAGGCGGCTGCGGGGTGAATCATTGCAGCCTTTCAGTACCTAAAGGGAGCCTACAAACAGGAGGGGAATCAACTCTTTGAGATAACAGCAGGATGAGGGGAAATGGTTTCAAGTTGAGGAAGGGAAGATTGAGGTTGGATGTCAGGGAAGTTCTTTACAGAGAGAGTGGTGAGGTGCTGGAACAGCTGCCCAGAGAGGCTGTGGATGCCCCGTCCATCCCTGGAGGTGTTCAAGGCCAGTTGGATGGGGCCCTGGGCAGCCTGGGCTGGTATTGAATGTGGAGGTTGGTGGCCCTGCGTGTGGCAGGGGGCTGGAGATTCGTGATCCTTGAGGTCCCTTCCAACCCTGGCCATTCTGTGATTCAGCCCTGATTCCTGAATGGCAAAGCCCAGCACAAGGCACTGCTCTGAGGCTCCCAGGGAATCCCATCACAAAGCTCATCTCCCATCTGCTAGCAGAGCCAGCCGAGCACTCTTTGTGGACAGAGCCCTTCCTCTGTGCAGCTTGAGGAGGGCACCAGGGAAAGCAGAATCTGGTTGTGCTACTTCAGCTAATGTAATCATTGCAGAAAACCAGAACGAATTCTGCAGAAGAAAATAATAGCAAAAATATCAGCAAACCTGGGATGGCAACAAACGGGCTGTTCTGAGCACTCAGCAAAGCGTATTTACAGCACTGCGGTTATTGTTCTTCAAAGAATGTTAAGATTTCCTTCTTCATTAAGTTTGTTGAGAAGCAATGAAAGCTCACGCGATTTTATTTTTAAATATTGTTTTACTACCCAACAGCAACAGTAAATTCATAAAAAAAACACGTGATTGACCAGGACTATGGAGGAAAAAAAAATTGTTTTCTCTGTACATTCTTATTAGTCTTGGCTAAGATGTTATAAAAGCAGTATCTTTTAACACCTTTTATTATACAAGGGTCAAGGGGTTTTTATGTTTCTTACAGAAAGCTTCAAATAGCCCACATAGCGGGTTACTGCTTCTTTCATATGGCTGCTGCACAAACAAGCACATTTTACACAGGAAATGACATAACCATGTAAAAGTGTACATGGAGTTTAGGCACATATTCAAACACTAATGGGAATGCATTGTTTTAAATGGCATACTTTTATGTTTACCTATTCAGCTTAGTACCCATATTTTAGCCAAATACAACAAAAATTATCCACACATACCTGTCTTATAGTGTACTGTTTATTTGAAAATTTGGACCTTCACAAAGACTCTCGTGGGACAGATAATGACCCTAAAAAGTAAATACAAATGAGGCATTCTCAGTGAGAGAGTGAGACCTGCCATCATAAAGGTGGAAAGCTGAACTTTTAACCTGCATTGCTCTACAGCTCAGGTTTCCACACGTTTCAGCCATGCATTGCTAACAGCGCCTCACCCACGGGAGGAAAGCTGTGACAATAACTTAGGGTGTCTATCTTTGCACGTTGTATAATGACCACACTAAAGGGAGCGGTGCCAAACTTCTGCGGTCCCAAGGTCCTCTGGTTCTTCCCAATTTCTTTGCTGTGTGTGGAGTCCCACACTGTGTTCTGCCCCCGAACCTTTGCTTTCATAGAGGAATGAGGCCCAAATGTGTCCATCTGGGCTTTACTTCTGGGTTTTCTACGATCAGGAACATTTGTAACGGCCACCAATCCCACTTCTTGGGAGCTTCAATACAAGTTTCCACTTTCACTCCAGATAACAAGATCTGAAATGTAGAAATTGAATGCATATATGGAATTAAAGCTACTAAAATAAAGCTCATCGTGGCAGCCTCTTGTTGTGCCTGTTGAAGTTGTGGGTGATATAAGAATAACAGAAACAGCTTTGAGACAAGCAGGCTTTCATCACTGTAGATTTATGTGATCATAACCATTCCATATCTTACAATTAATTACAGAGACAGGTGTTTGCACCAGATGACCTCAATGGCTCGGGCATCGCAGCGTTAAAGCACTGAAGGGCTGGGATGCATTCGTACCACAGTGAAAGTCAACAGCCCTGGTGAGGCCAAACCCAGGACCTGGTGATTTTGGTGTGGTAACGAGCTAACTGTAGCACTGAAGTGTCTCCAGTTTTAAGTTTGTTTAAACTTCGTTTCAACTACCTACCAGAACTCTGGATCTTTTTCAACCAGCACTTTTTTAGACCTTTATACATCAGTGTTTCTTTTAATTTTTCTGTTTGGTTTGAGATAATCACAGAATCCTGGCATTCTTTTCCATTTACATGCTGATTTAAACTCCATATATAATTACCACTTCTCTGAACCTTCCAAGCAGGGCAGTGATGCACTGGTGCTGTTACTGGAGCAGCACGGCTGTGTCTGGCACACGTGAGAGCAGAGGCTCCACTGGGAGCTTGCAAACAGGCGCAGGCATGGGAGCAGCACACTGGTGCAGGAGAATGCCCTTCCTCACGGTCACCCAACATCTGCAGAGCACAGCTGGGGTCAGCATGGGGAAAGGAGCATGAAGTGCTGCATGCCAGCCTCCTAGAAGGCAGCCAGAAGGAAAGAAAAGAAACACTGGAGCAGAATGGGCAAAAGGGAGCTCAGAACACTTCTTGATTCTGGCCTGGCAGGAGAATGCTTTCTCTCCTACTGTAAGAAAGGCAAAATCTGTCTAGATAGAAGCTTGTGGTGAAGCTTAGGATTCAAAACTCTTTGTTTTGAAGCTGTGTGGAAAGCCCACAGGCAATTGGCAGCAGAGCTGTGGTCAGCTGCTGTGGTCCTGGCAGTGGCCTCAGCTGTGGGGAGCAGGACCTGTGGAGAGCCCACCTGGGGCCCAGAGGCAGACAAGATTCCTGTGCACACCACGAAGCACCAGAATGTCTCAGGTGTGTGTGATGGGGTAGCTTCAAATGCTAAGTGTGTGTTATTAACATGCTGCTTAGTCACCCTACTTCTGTCAAGTATTCCGACGTGCTTCACTTTGTGTTATTGCATGGATTGGGCTGAGTTACATCCAGGTCTGCAGGCAGCAATCACTGTGCTAAGCTATTGCAAAGACATCACGCATATGAAAGCTTTCTGCAGTGTTTCTCATTATCACCCCACTGTAGGCTGTGGCACACTCTGCCTGCCCAGGGAGTCCACGTGCCTGTGGCTGGGCTGCAGCCACCAGGTGCTGTGAGCTGTTGCAAGGACCCAGCAGTTCAGAGCTCTATCTCAGAGAACAAACAAGGACAGAGATTTGGCCACCACTTCTCTGTGGCCATCGAGCAGGTGCTTAGCACCCTTTCCATCAGTGTGAGTCAGAACAGGCTCAGTCTGGGGTCAGTGCAGGAGGACCTTGGGGTCATATTCACCTCCTGGCAGTGATGCTGAGCAAGCAGAGTTCAGACCCAGGAACTCGTGTGGCTTGCTGGTTTACACTGCAGCAAAACAAAGACCTTAGCATTTGTAACTAAACTATTGATAAGCCATGTCAGCCATTCCCAATGGTTCCCACATCCTGCCTGATCCACCTACATTCAAATGTCAGAATGGTTATGTAGGTGAAATCACACAAAAAGAAATCCCAGAACAAATGCATGATCCATGCCTGGAATAGATACAGGAGATATGCAAACACGCAGCTGTTGGAGTGTGGAGTGAAAAGATAACAGTTCTTTTGCAATCAGCTGCATAATTCATCCTAGCCCCAGGTACACAAGTGATGGTGTCCTTCCACACCCGACTAAAACACGGCGTGCTTTCAGAACTTTCTTCCAACGTTTCCAATCAGCAGTTAGAGGCAAGTGAAATACATGAACGTGTTATGCATACCTCCAGCATTCTGCTGCTCTGAAAAGTCCCTTTCACTTGTATTTATTGTACAAAAACGTTAAAACAAATTCTTACCAGCATTATAATTATGCAGAGTTGGACAGCTAGGCACAGTGTAGCACTGTGTCAATAATTTATTACATCTTATGCCATAACTGAACACTTTTACTAGGAGCATTTGAGAACAACTTGGACCTTATACAGAGTAATATATCTTGCTACACAATAATGGAAAGGTGGATAGTTAAGAAAGATATGTAGCTTGCAGGAAAACATACATGGAAAGTAATACCTCCTGCATCACCCATCTCCATGTACAACTTAAAACTAAATCAACATATTACATTTAATTACTCCTTTTTATATATGCATAGTTTTGAGAGCTAATCAGAAAGAAATCACATTGCAGCACAACTATTTACACCAAGATGGGAGCATGCAGAACACAACCTTCCCTTCTAGACATCAGGACTATTTCCTTACAGTTCTTCATAGACAACGCACATGGGACTCAGTCTCAAGGATGTTGTTCAGACAGGTCACAGCTCACCGATACCATCTTTACACACTGCCTCTAGAGTAAAAGCAGGTACTTAGAGGCATGGAGGTCAAATCTTCCCTGTCATAGACTTTAGTTAGAGCCAGTCTTGTGTTGCCAACACACGGCTTTATACTGGGCTGTGTGACAGCGTCCGAATACCACTGAAATATGCCCACAGTGGAGAGATGGTGGAGAGACGTACAGAATCGCTGGATTTGGTGCTACAATCCTTGTAAACGTGCCCTAGAGGTAAGAAATTAAGTTAACCTTGTTTCAGGAGAGGTTATGTTCAGTGCGTCACACTGCCTTTCGTAACACATCCACATGAGCAACTGTTCTGCTACCTGCAGCCACACGACTCCACCACCATGTCCTCGTACTGTTTGTAGACCACATTGTTTGCGGAGTCAATGAAAAGAATGCTGATAGGACTCAGCCTGGTTGGAACACAGCAAGTTGGAGGCGTCGACTCGGGGTCCATTGAGTTCATTAAAGTTTGGATAACTGCATGATTGGTGGGCTCTAGGTGGGATCTAAGGGGGAACTCACAAAGACCTTCGCAGTGATACGCTTCGTATTCTAGAGGTGCTATTATCCAGTCATCCCAGCCCATATCCTTAAAATTCACATGGAGGGCTTTTCTGCTACACCTTGCCTTCAGGTTCTTACTGGGCCTCTTCCCTTGCCGTGTTGCTAGAGGAGCTCTTCTCTTCCGCCTCTGATTGAATAAGTACTCATACACGGTTTTGTCATCTTGGCCAGATCTAGCCTTGATTTCATTGAAAAATAAGTCCCTTTTTTTTGTCCTCCCAAATACCAAGAAGAGAGCCTTTTCATTGACCTGTCTTCCCGTTCTGTTAAATCCCACAGTCCTGAGATCAACCGCTCTCCCCCTGTCAAAAGTTTCCAGTTCAAAACACAAGTTAACCAAGTTTTTAAAGTTCCTAAAAAGCTTCCAGATGTCAAACACTTCCCATTTTGGTGTATCTGTGATACTGACAGTACGAGAGTCCAGGAGTGTTGCTGCTTGTCTGTTGGTAGAGCAACTAAATAATTTCACCTGGGAAGTTTTTCCAGAAGAATGAGACTTCCAGGTATCAGAAGGCTTTTTCCTCAATATTCGAAGCTCTGCTCCCAGCAGGCCATCTTTTTCTAATGCACTGATGTCAAAAATGTATTTTTGTTTTCTTATGGTTGGCGCTCGCTCATCTAAAAAAAGCACACACATTTTTAAATCAAGCACAGAGCAATGCTAGTTTTTCAGTTCTCTACAATGTTCCTGAAGTTCCCCCATAAGACTAGAATTTACCTTAGTTAGCGCACTAAACAGAAAGAACAATTTTTGTCTAAGGGATGGGTTCTGAGCAGGAACCTAGAAGAATGTATTGACTCATCAGGGAAATGAGCTCTTGAGCTTGCCCTGGAGAAATGTCAACTCTTTCACCAGCGGGCATTTTCTAGCTTCAAAGTAGCCATTAGTCAATTGGAAAACAGTCATTTATAAGGTCTGAGGACTCACAGGGCCTATTCACCACTTCCATCCCACTTAAATTAGTGAAATGGGGCTTCAGTGGTGCCCGGGCCTCATGCTGGCTCCAACATTACCCTTAGACAACACAATAGTCAATTAGTCCTTTAAAACCAACATCCCCCAGGAACTGCCGGACACAAGGATAATTGCCTCATTAACTTGGCTCCACAGGATTCACAACTTTTCCAAGTTGGGCAGAACAACGTGCCTCCCTTTAACCTGATGCTATCTTTGCCTGGTTAAACCCATGAGCAGCACTAATGAGGAATAAGTTGGCCAAGCCAACTTTTTATCAGTGTTTCAAAAAACAACGCCTTCCAGTGGCGAGCCAAGGGTCTGAACACAGCACTGGTCAGCTGCGTGCCATCCTGTCCCAAAAGCCAAACTATTCTTAATTAAACTGCAAACAAATCCAGTCCTGGCTGAGCGTTCAATCACTATTATGTAATTAGCTGTGGCCGATGTTGCTTCCTTAAGTCCATGACCAAGCTCTCATTAATGTCACCGGAAGCAACATGGAGATAAGTCTCCCACCAGAACGGCAAGGTGAACGTCTTTCTTTGGGAGCCTGGTTATGTGTTGTGTGAAAGCAGACACTAGGCCAAATTTCCAAAAAATTTGGAACCATAACATTGAACCGCAAATTAGGGAGTCCCAGAAGTTATTTACTCTTATTAGCCCATGCTTAGCTATGAGCTTCTGCGGTTAGAAGGCTGGTGGTGTCCGAAAGCATGAGATCTGAGCTCATACAGGTACACCAACACTAGTCAATAACAACTCCTGGGTCTACATTGTAGTTCCTCCCAACTCATCCTTGAACAAATTGGGGTGACCTCCAATACTGAAACTTGTGTTTTTCCACAGAACAGCCCCTTGCTCAGCATAGAATGTATTTTTAGGCACACTTAGCAATAAAATCGAACGTTAGTTTCCAGAAGCTACTTATTGAAAGAGCATAGGATAAAAACATTAAAGTTTAAACACTTAAACATGCAAGGACTGATGGATTTTCAGAAATATGCATCTAAAATTTTCTCCTCATGTTTTGCTTGGCTGCCACGCAACCATCTAATTCTGCCTCTAGAAAAATTCACCTAGATAAGGACAAAATCTACAGCAAAGCTGTACAGTTTCATTTATGCTAAAAAGAGCCTTTTGACTTTAACAACACGCAGTTGTTATTTTCTAGTAAGCCTTGCACTCAGGCATCCCTCTGTCCCACATACGCGAGCTCCCCTCTTACCTTGTCCTTTGTCTATAAAGCTGGTTATTGTATTGGCAAGTCCAGCCTCCAGTTTTACACTTCCATTAACACCTTTTCTTTCTGCATCTGAGAGAGTCCTGTACAAAGAGAGCATGTATTCATGTGGCGTTATGGGGGGCTGTCTGAAAGTTTCCTTAGCTTCCCTTTGGGTGACAGGCTCTTTAGTCTTTTTCGTTTTGAAAGAACTGGTATCAGTACCGCTCGTGCCAGTTTTTTTCAAAGCCGCCTTGCTGCTAAGATTTGGGACCTTTGGAGTCACCGTCCTTACTCCAGAAGGTCTGCTCGGGAGATGTCCTACCTTTGCCTCCGTGGCTGCTGCTCTTGAAAGAACCCTCTGCGATTCATCGTTCTTGGCCAGCAGAGCTCCAGCCTGAGCAGCACTGCTTTTAGTCCTTGCCTTTGAGGTCCCGGTGCTAAATCCATGGTTCGCAGCCCGTGGCGTGCCTGCCCGTGCTGAGGGAGTCCTCTCTTTTCCTTCTGCTTTTAACAGATCTGTTTTAGACCCTGGATTACTCTGGCCTGCTTCAGAATTACTCAGTGCTCCAGGAACTAGATCCAGAGACAGCCAAGTCAAATGCCAAAGCAGTAAAGTGAGAAAATGCAGGATTTTCATCCTCTGGTCTTCCTCTGAATGCCACTAAAGAAAAAATCAGGAAAGGTTCCTCCAGTTTGGCAGAAGAAAACATGAAAGAAATTAAAAACCAAAGTCAGCAAAAATGGTTTTCGATTGAGATTAAAACATTTCAAATCTCGTTGTTCAGTGCTCGTATCCAGTCCCATAGTGGAAATGCTCATGAACTCAGACGCGCTCTCCCCTGACTTCAGTTAGCGGCTGTAAAGGACTTGTTCTTGAAAAGAGAAAGTTTACCACCTCGTTTTCTTCTGTAAAACTGACTGAAAACTTGAAGGAGTCCTGTTTAAATCGGAGGGGTTTTTTTTCCAAGAAGGAAGAATGGCGTAATGCTGCCTCTGTGTTAAAAGGTTTTTTTAACGTTTTGAATCCTTTCCAGTGAAAATATTTCACACACAGAGACCTGCAGGTGCTCAGAAATCTTTTACAAACCTGAACTCAGGAATTGGAAACGGAATTCCAACAAACCTATTTAATTACTCTCTGATGTCATGCTGTCTAAACTAATTTAACTGCGATATATTTCTTTAAAAAAAAAAATCTTCTTTGCCCTTTTCATGAGCATGAGTCATACTCTGCCTCATGTGAAACAGCTCGGCGGGCTCAGGGCTCCAGAGGACGCCTTTTTGAGCGGCGGCACAACCTCTCCTTTCGCCTTCCATCAACTTCACGTTTAAATGGGACAAACTGCAAGATCACCAGCCGGGACCTGTCCTGCGGCCCATGGGAACACGCACATTAAAACCTCAGTGCGGAACCCGTCCAGCTCTTTATTTCTGCAGCGCTGGAGCAGCGGCTTCGCTTTGTCCTCCAGCGGCGTCGCTAACAACGCAGGCACTTAACAGGGGTGCAGATTAATTTTGTACAATGCAGCGGCACCGCCGTGCCCGCAGTCATCGTATTTTGGCGTCTTTATGGCTATGCTTTGAACAAACCCACGTAACCCAGCTGCAGCAGAAGGCTGTGCCGGCAGTGCACCCTGCAGGCAGCCCTGCTCCTGCCACCCGCACAGCTCAGGGTGCTCCATGCCGGGGTGCAGCCAGGATGGAGGTTTTGTTAACCCAAATGTAGGAGAGCTGCCTGCCCACAGCCAGGGGAAGGCTGGGAGACGGGAACAAGAGCTGCTTATGTGGGAAGGGTATCTGCTGCTGTCAAGGGAGCACGGAGCAAGAGTGGCTTTCATGCAGTGCAAAAAATGAGCTGTTGTTGTTCTGAATGAGCCTTTGGGAAATGAGGCACTGTGCTGGAGGCATTAATGGGACCCTTCTCTCATCCAGTACTGGTGCTGAGCCCAGTGCTCCCCTCCCGGTCGCTTATTTCTGAAGCAAGAATAAAAGGAATAGATACAACAGTCTAGATTTAACTTGATTTGGACACACTGTGACATTTTCCACTCCGACACAAAATTGCTTTCATAAATAACAACCTGCAGCCCTTTCCACATGACACACTTCGAATACTTCACCTTATTCTGGTGGAGGAACCAAATGGTAGAACAGCTCAGTGACTGCACAGATGTCAAAAATGAGGGAGAACAAAAACCCCACCCTCCTGATTTTGGTCTAATTGCCATTCCTCTGGAGTCGATTTGATGTTTCCCATCAAAACAAAACAGCTTTTCCTTGAGTTCCTTCCAACAGGCCCATTCCCCAGCAGCTCCTTCGTGCTGTCCGCATGCCCTCAGCCATGCTGTCCCTTCCTCCCACCGTTACCCACTTTCCTGCAGCAGACCAGTGTGCTGCATCGGTTCTGCACTGCCTACAGAAACAGCTGAGTGCTGAGTTCACGCTCTTATTCTACGAGGGATGCCCTGAAAGTAATGCCTCCTATTTTATGATGTTGGCCCATGATGTCAGAGGAGGGTTTTGGTGGAATGGTAGCAGATTGAACCTTCCCACCAACATTCTGTTCTGTTCTGTTGTCATATGACAGATGGCAGCAGAGGGACAGCCTGACAGAATGACATCTGACATGGGAGTTCCATATGGAGCAAAGGGATGGAATCAAATTCCTCCATGTGGAAAAGCTGGCACCCAGCAACATTCACCAATACTTGCTGAGCATTCCTGAGACCAAGCAGTGGATGTGAGCACAGTGAGGCTGTGGGTGATGCATGTCAGCAGTGGTGATGGCAGCCATGGATCCCCACAGCTGGTGCGGACTTCTACAAGTGCAGCATGCAGGCTTTTGTTCATTGCTGGTGAAAATGCACAGCTAATGGTGGTGATTAAGTTGAAAAACAGCATTTTGCAAGTTGAGAATTTGCTCCGCCAAACAGTGCTATCTGTTGTATCTGTTGTAGTTGGTATGGAAGATAGCAGGCATTACTTTTGGTGTATCTAGCTTCCAACACCAGTAAGAACTTTGTATCTTGAAGAACTCTATTGTTCCATCAAACTTTGTTGAGATTCACAGATACAGAAATTATTTGGGAGATGAACAGGAAAGAGCAGAAGGTGAGACAATGTGACTACACAGGCCTTGTCTCTTGGTAAATCAGACTAAAAGCAGAATCAATCAAATGTTCACACAGTATTTACATAACTGAGATGAACGTGTCTCTCAGTTTAAGGATTTTATTAAGCACCCAACTGATACTGCCAGTCACAACAAGAATGAACGCAATGATCTTTAAGGTCACTTTCAGCCATTCTAAGAAAATATGATTCTTTTAAAAAATTGTGCTGCAACATCTTCACAGAGATCAGGAACTAGAAAGAATGACAGAAGGCCTGTGCAAGGAGTTCCCCTGAAACAGCACAGGGGGAAAAAAATGGGCCAGCAGGAATTGCATCCCATGGGAGCCTAGATAGGGCAGTAGCACTTTGGTAGCAAGGGCAGAGAACACGTTTCCACAGCAGACACCAGGACAGCAGACAGGCTGCATGCAGGGGCTGCTTTCCTTGCTGGGGACGGGCTGACCAGTGTGTGTAGATACCTCTCAGCCTCTGCCTGCCTCCTTCTCACAGGAGTGCAGGAGCACCCAGAGCTGCCACCACCACATCCCACAGCCAGGACACGGTGAGCAGGAGGAGCGTGAAGCTGCAGATGTTGAGCAGTTTGCTGGAACCTCAGCAGTGGGCCACTGGGACAGAACTACTGTGAGTTCCTCTGAGCAAAGCCCTGGGGACTCCTTCAGTTCTCAGAACATGTTACCCATTATTCCTGTCCCCTGTGTAATTTAAACCAGATGCTTCTTTTGGCCATTCTGCCGTTCCTGGAGGCACGGTCCATCAGGCTCTTGCATGTCACCAACACAGCTGCTGCGATGTGAGTGCTGTCAGAGCTCTGCACTCCTATGGATCCGCATTTCAGTTCAGAAAGCCACGAAGAGCTGAGACAGCATCCAGTGATCCACGTGCCTGGCTGCACCACTGCACACCAAAGGGATGGCTTTTGTCAATCGAACTCATGCAGCTGCAGGGTCAAAAAACCGTCATTCTTTTCTACCTTTGTCTCATTCCTCAGCGATGTAGCACAGCTATAAGTGAATCCCATCTGCTCCGTGCAGAGCAGGCATTCAGTGCCCATGTCTTCGAGCTGCTCCCGTCCTTCAGGTTGGATATCAGGGAAAGGCCGTGCCCCAGAGGGCGGTGGGCACGGCACAGCAGGCACGGCACAGCAGGCACGGCACAGCAGGCACGGCACAGCAGGCACGGCACAGCAGGCACGGCACAGCAGGCACGGCACAGGCTGCCGGGAGGACACTGCTCTCAGCCGCAGGTTTGGGTTGCGGTGCTGCCGTTGGGGCCGGGTTGGCCTCAGCGGTCCGCGTGGGTCGCTTCCAACTCGGGATGTTACGACGTGATTCTCTGGGTACCGGCAGACTCCCGGCCCACTTCGGAGCATTTCTGGCTTTACCTTGATTTCTAGCGACGCCTCACAGAGCGAAATCCGCCTCGCTCGCATTTCGCACGTCACAGCCGAATCCACCTCCCCTGCATCCAGCTCACGCTCAGCTTTCCCCCGCACACAACCCCCGGGCGGCCCCACCAGCCGGGCTCAACGTCGAGCCGCCCGCAGCACCCGGCAGCGGCAGCCCAGCCGCGGGCACGGCGCGCTTCCCGCCGCGCAACGGCCGGCCTATCGCCGCACCGCGGGGCCCGGCGGGCGGGGCGGGGCCGGGCGCGGGGCATGGCGGCGAGGGAGGCGGCGCGGGGCCGGGGCTGCCCGCGGCGGAGGCCGCACGGAGCGGAGGAGGCGCAGCAGCAGCGGGCGGTGCTGGCGCGGAAGCTGCAGGAGAAGGTGAGGGGAGGGCGGGAGGAGGCGCAGCCGGGCGCGGGGCCCGGGGAGCGGCACGGCCCCTCCCGCTGCCCGGAGCGCCCCGCGGCGGCCTGGGCGCGGCCGGAAGGGGAAAAGCCGCGCGGGCTGAGCGCCGTGCGTTGCGCTGAGGGCGTGCGCGGCGGGCCGAGGGGGCTTTCGCCCGTTGGAAGGCTGCAATGCGTAACGGAAACTCGTCCCCTCTGAGCGCTGGAGGCGTTGCGGCTTTTTTTCCGAACGAGAAGCCGCTCTGCGCTGAGCGGGCGGTGATTAACGCTGCGCGGTTTGGCGCCGTGCGGGACAGGTGGCGGGGGCAGGGCGGTGCCGGACGCCCTGCGGAGCTCCGCGCGTCCCCTTCAGGCTCTGCCGGCTGGCTTCCCGCTTATTTTAGTATTCCCGAAGCAGTGCTGCTTGAGCCCAGCCAGCAGCCGTGCGCAGACCTGTCCGCCCCGAGTCGCTCCCGTTCAGACGCTCTCACCATAGCAGAGCTTTTCCTTCCCTCTTGTTTTTACTGTTTTTGTCTTACTTGGCTGCGTTGCAAGAAATTGCATTTTCTTGTTGATCGTTCCGAGTAGGATACTGGTGCTACGAGGAGCATTAATTGATGGCAAGCTGGACGTGAGCCAACAGTGTGCCCTCACAGCTCAGAAAGCCAGCCAGATCCTGGGTGCATCCAAAACAATGGGGCGACGGAGGGGATCCTCCCCCTCCGTGCTGCACTGCGAGGCCCCACCTGGAGCACTGCGTCCAACACGTGGAGTCCTCAGCACAGCAGAGACGTAGAGCTGTTGGTACGCGTCCGGGGCAGAGCCGCAGCAATGATCTGAGGGACAGAACACCTCCCTGAGAGGACAGGCTGAGAGCTGGGGCTGAGCAGCATGGAGAGGAGAAGGCTGTGGGGAGAGCTTTCAGTATACAAAGGGGCTGTAAGGAAGAAGGGGAAAGACTCTTTAACAGGGTCTGTTGTGATAGGACAAGGGGAAATGGCTTCAAATGAAAAGATGGGAGATTTTGGCTGGATGTAAGGAAGAAGTTTCCTGCAGTTAGAGTGGTGAGGCACTGGAACAGGTTGCTCAGAGATGTGATGGATGCCCCCTCCTTGGATGTATTTGAGGTCAGACTGGCTGAGGCTCTGAGCAGCCTGACCTAGCAGTGGGTGTCCCTGTTCATTGCAGGGGGTTTTGATGAGATGACCTTTAAAGATCCCTTCCAACTCAAACAATTCTATGATTCACAGTAAGCTTACTGTTACTAGGCATGCTGAACCGCTTGGTAAGTTTTCTTTTCCAAGCTCGTAATGAAACATGATTTAAGAAGGATTGGTCATTGATTTTGGTGTTGGCCCACTTTCTGGATTTAACATGGTTTGCTGAGGTTTGAACAGCGTAATCTTCAGTCTGACAGATGCAGTTGGCCTGGCATGGCATCTGTGTCTGTCTCATCGTTCCGCATGTCATCACTGTCTCAGGATGAGCAGTTAGTACTATGCATAACATAAACCCTTTCTCACTTTCTTTAGTATTAGATAAAGTGAAGTTTCCATGTATGATAATTACTTCTCTCTGTGTCAGCAGTGCTGTGGAAAGTACTGCGCTCCCTCTGCAAAGGCTTAGAGAAAAACTAATGCAGGAGGAGCTGAGTCTGTTGGAAGCTTCATTTCCCTCATCCTAATTCTCTGTTTCCACCTCAGCTGCTGCAGTATCGGAGCTGGTGTCGTGAGCTAGAGCAGCGACTTGAAGCAGGAGGGGTGAGTGTGCAGGTATGTGGCATTTGTTAACTCAGATTAAAGTCTCCTCAAAGCAGTAAAAACCTTGTTTTCCTGATGTGAAGATTCAAAGGAGTACTTCAGTATTTTGCCTTTCAGTATTTTGTCCAGTAGCCATTGATAGAGCAGCCTTTAGTCCTGGAAATGTCAGTCCAGCAAACCTTATCAAGAAGGATGTTAACTTTGTGAAGGAGTGTTTTCTTGCTGGAGTAAGACTTGTGCTGGGTCTCAGGAGAGGGCTGTACTGCTTCTTACATGACGGCTGTCTCTGATTAAGGATCAAAACATAGCATCTTAGAAGGCAAGAATGCAGGCACTCAACATATAGAGCTGGCTAAGTGCTTTTCTTTCTGCTTCATGGCTAATGTAAACCCAGGAAACAGAGTAGGAGAGTATGTATACCCAAGCTTCAAGTCTAAGTGAGCAGTCTTGATTGTGAGCTGAAGATACCCAGCTGTGAGAGTGGAAAACTGAGGGGGGCAGTACTCTACACCTCCCATCTTCCCTATAGTCTAGATGCTGTAATGCCTGGAAGAAGTCATGAGCTCCTAAAATACCAAACAAATGAAGGGGAAAGCAGTGGATGATAACAGCAGTGAAGGGAACACAAGAATTTGATTAAACCTTTCCTTTCTTAAGGGATCCCTTTCAGACAGATGGGAAACCACTGAACACCATGGCCTGGAGAAAGCACTCCTTCAGTTAGAAGAAGAGCAGCAAAGGTAAAAGGAAAGAGCAGTACCTCATTCTTGGTGTCCTGGATCCTCGTGGAAGTGAGATAAAACCTCTTAAGTTCTACCTAATCTTCTCAAGGGAAGTGGCTGGACGGGCCATTTTGAAAGCAGGAAGGTCCACAGTCTGTACCTTTGGAGTGAGGGTTGGTTGTATGACCTCCAAAGGTCCCTTTCCACCCTAAATTTTTCTATGATTCAGTAGGTGAGGTATTCAACAAAGCTCTGCTTTACATGGGAATCAAACCATAACATCCTAAAGATTTCATAGAACAGGTGTTTTCCTATTTGGTTTGGAGTTTTGTTTTATCTGACAAGCATTTGGCACCACAGGAATCTTCTGTCATATTTTTCTGCACTTTTCTTTCTCCTTCAGCCCCAGAGATAAATTGTGTGTGGTATAAAATATGTGTGTGCTGTGTTGCCTAAGTTGCAGAGTAAGGTGGAGGAAGCACAACTCCTACTTTTGTCCAAAAACTGAGCTCTGTGCTTGTTCACTGGGCAGTTGTTCTTCCAATTTTCTTCGTGAAATATTTCCTGAGGGAGACCTTAGGCTGTGGCCTCACAGTAATTGGCCTGCAGTGCTTTACGTTCCTTACAACGAGTATGGCTTAAAACCTCCTTGAGGGCTGCAGATCCACTGCACTTTTGGGAACTGAATAAAAGTTCAGTTTTTAGTTCAGAGCTTCATTTAAAGCTGTTTCGCACACATGTATGGCCTTGGTTTTGTGCTGTGCAGTTTGCTGGATCAAGAAAGTGGGGTTTTCACTGCAGGCCTGATGTATTGGGCGAGAACAGAGAGGCTTAAAAAGAAGTGGGCAAAAGTAGGAACAGTATTGCAAGGGAAAGGATGTGAAAGCAGAGATAACAGTGGTGGTATGAAGGCAGTCAGGACCTGCATTTAGTAGGATCTTGTCCACTTCATTGTCATGACAAGTGACCAGCCAGAGCATAGAGAAGGCAAGAGCTTAACTTGTGAGGAAGGGGAGACTGACACTGTAGATGGAAATGAGGGCTTAATGCAAGAAAAAACAAATGGGTTTGCTGTAGCAGAGACATATTCATTATTCCTAGAAAGCACTTCTACTGTTTCCTTGAAAAGAAAGTTGTTGAGGGAACTGGAAAATCACAAGGGTGCTACCTGTAGTAGTTATTCAGTCAGTTCATTTCTATTTCTCCTTTTCCAAGGTGTGAGAACCTGGCAAAAGTGAATACCCTCCTGCGGGAACACCTAGATAAAGCAAATGAGGTGAATTTAGCCCTTAAAGAAGATGTTGGAAAACTGACAGCAGATTGGATGAGGGCCCGAGAGGAGCTGGAATTGAAGGAGAGTGAATGGCGCAGTGAGCGTGAGGTAAGGATAGGCTGTAGGAATGTCAGTGTAGTGCCAGACTCAAATGAGAATATGGTTGTGGTTAGCAGAATGCAACTGTGGGATGGAGGGATGTCAGCGGAGGTGGTGATGGAAGATACTCGCTGGCTGCAATGATGCTGCAGTCTTAAAGGCAAGTACTTGCTATTGCTGTACACTGTAGGCCAGTCACACATGGACTCTTCTTTATTTTTCTTTTTTTTTTTTTTTTTTACACTTTTTAAATCTCAGCAGAAGAACAGAGAGGTCTGTATGTTTTCGGGTTCAGAATAGGTAAAACAAGGATCAAGACAGGCATCCCTTACCAGCAGTCTGTGGCAAGGAGTTTGAAGGAGTTTGTTTTTGTTCTTCCTTCACCAAGAATGTTAGATATCTCCACAGAACAAGATAAGGAATCCTGATCAGTGTGCTTTGTTGATAGCCACTGCATCAGGAGAGGTGGGAACATCTTTGAATTCAGGTAGCAGGTTTACTGAGGATGTTTGTGTAGTGCCTCTTCAGGCCTTGATGCTTCTGCTGGAGTTATTAAATGTGTTCTAATGATGATGGCTGTACACTCAGATCTAGAAGGATTGTACAGTGACAGGGAAGGCTGAATTGCTGTTCCTTTTTGTCTCTGTGTGTTTAGTTTTATGACAGCTACTTAAGGGGTGAACATAACCGTCTTCTGAAGCTGTGGCGGCAGGTGCTGACTTTCCGCCGTCATTTCCTGGAAATGAAGACAGCCACTGACAGGTGAGGAGAAATTAAGAACAGGTACCTTGGAGAGCAAAATGTAGCTTCTCTTCTTTTCACACCTGCTTTCTGTACTTTGATCTTCCTTTAGTTACAGCTAATAATACAGTTTCTCCTTTGATAACTTGAAGTAATTCCATAAAGCCTGCTTTGGATCTGTTGCCACCTGTGTGACCTACTGTAGGGTACCTGCTTTAGCAGGG